AAGCCCACTGTGTGGGTGAAACGTTGTCAATAAAGGATCACATTATACTGCATTTGTGTTTATATTTCCAATATTTCCTTTGGTTTATATAAATTAGATCCATTTATAATTAATAGAATTTGGGAAGAATTTAATAATACACTGGACAAATAATAATTTTAAAATTTTTCTTGGGTAGAATAGTTTGTTGGTGGTTGTGCAAAGGACCTGTCCAGTTGGGCCGGCGCGCATCAGGTGTTTAACCGTTGTGGGATCTGATAGTGAGGTGTTGGCCAGACCCCTTATATACCTTCCTTGGATGATTTACTTTCATAGTTCCTTGATAATGTGAGTAGTCACGAAAGTGCTTGGAGTTTCTCTATTCTTTCAGAGTGGTTGTTTTGCATATATATATATATATATATATATATATATATATATATATATATATATATATATATATATATATATATATATATATATATATATATATATATATATATGTATATCCTTATGGTACTGATAAAAATATCTAATAAAAAACAAAGAATATTGTAATTTCTCTTTGATTTAAGACCTTTCAGTGTTCATCATTAAAGTATGTTGGATGGAAGGCACTCAGTGAAATCCAAAGTTATACCCCACTTGGGAGCATTTGTTCATTATAAAAATGTTAAACTGGCCTAGCAACTCGAAGCAGGACATTTTAGGACTCTCTATGGTTACTGGCTGCATCCTAATTAGCTTCTGGGCTTGTGTGGTGAACGGTTTTGTGTCGGTGGTCTTTCCTGTTTCGTGTGGTCTTAAAGACCGAGTTTGTCGGACATTTTTTCATATTGACAAATTAAAATGGGCAGAAGTAGTTATATAAGAGACAGTTGCAGAGATCTTTGAATTATATAAGGCAGGCCATGACACAGGAAATAATGGAATCCAGCAATGTGTGTGAGCGTCCAATGAGGATCTGACTGGGTCGGCTCCTCGAGGGTTGTGTTCCTGACATGACTACACCTATAACTAGTTTAGGAAAGCCTCGGAAAACGTCCCCACTTACGTTAACCATAATAACGTAACCAGAATTGGTCTGTTAACATTTGCCCGAATCCTACGTAAAGTGTGGTGGAAGGTTTTTCATGCAGAGTGATAAAGAGATCAACTGGGGAAAGTAGATAGAGAGATCAAATGGGAAAAGAGTATAAACCCACTTCTACGGTTTTAAGACACCATCCATGAGTTTGGGGAAGGATGTCCTAAAGCTCCAGGGTCGTGATTTTACTGGGGGCCAGAGTACTTTATTGACGAGCACTGGATATGCTTGTATCAATGAGTATTACAGAGGAGCAATAAAGCAGTAGGGATTTAGTGATCCCCCTTAGGGAATGGACGGCCTTCACACTCGATTCCAGGAACTGGAACCCAAATCCTATTCCTTAGATTAAGAGGTAAGTGGTTTCTTGAACCTCTTACCAAGCTTATTCGAAAATCACAATATTCATCTCTGTCTATCATTTCCAAAATTAAGCTGTTACTTTCAGTCTTTTGATTGGATTCTTACCTTCACCTCAAAGCTGCCGTCTGTGAAGGTCTCACTGATTCTTGCCTGAAAGCGGAACTCGTCCCTAAAACTTCCTTCTCCTTTGTTGACATACTTGAGTTTCCCACTCTGAAGGTCAGCTTCGGTGAACTGATGCTTAGTGACTGACTGGCCATTCACCATCAAGCGGCCATACCGAGGTGCGGCGGTTACATGGAAGACAATATCTGAGCCCCAGGCATTCATGTTGGTTTCCACGCTCAGATTGTAGTTAGAGATGACGGCCTCCTGGCCTCGTTGCACAATGATTCCACTGTTATTAACGATTTCGATGAATGGCTCAGAGGCCACAATTTCCAAGATGCTTGTAGAGGATAGATCACCATCCGTGACGGAGATCACAGCTTTGCCGTAAGAGGGACCATCGTGGCGAAAAACAATGCGCCGTCGATCAATATCTTCCTGTGTAAACAAATACACAGGTTCAAATCTGTCATCGATGTGAAAAAAATCTCCGTTTGGGATTTTTCGTCTGGTGTACTGAATCTGCGATGACGGCGTATCGAGGTCAGGGTCAATGTACAATAGATCATTAGAGGTCACGACTCTTTCGCTCTCAGTAACGACATTGAGAACCTTGTCTATAATCCTAATAGGATGATTATCGTTAGTCATGATGATTCGAAAGTGCATAACTCCCACGTACTGAAAATCCACCTCTGGATCTTCTGATAATGCCACAAAATAAAAACGATCTTTAGTCGTTTCTGAATCATCATGTTGATAAAACACCGATCCTGACTTTATATCTTGTGATGTAAAGAAGGTGGCGTTTATTCTCTCTGGGAGGATCATTGACTCGTCTACAACGTTGACTGAGCCATGCCTAGGGCAAGAGGTAACATTAAATACAATATTGGTTATGCCCCTGACATCTATATTCAAATATTTGTCGGTAATTTTCTCTCTGAAGCCCTCCTGTACATTTAAATGTTCTATTACAATGTTGGCATCCACTGGAGGAGGGTTGTGTCTTATACTAAATGTATGAACGCTGCTGGAGCGGCCGTTGCTGGAAACTTGAAACTGGAAAGAATCTTGGAGAGTCGAGTAGCTCTTGCGACGAAGTTTGTATTTGATTCTTCCTTTGGCAATGTCTTCCTGGCTAAACGTAGAACTTATTTCCAATTTTTTATGCTGTGTTAGATCTCCTGAGCTTAAGAAAACAGAGCCATATAATGGAGTTGATATTATTTTGTAAATGATATCTTTCCCAGGGGTTGAATCAGGTTTGGTTTCACTCTGAAGAAAGCCTTCGGAAATAAAGCTCTCTTGCACTCTGTCAATAAGAAGCTCTGCGTTTCTGATGACGTTAACTGTCACAGACACGAATGATATTCCGAAAGTGTATTCTGCTGGAAATGTGAAATAGTCAGTAGATATTTTGAATCTAAACTCGTCTTCACTAGGTTCTTTGGAAATGTGTTTGTAACGGATCTTGTCTTTCTCCAGGTGCCGACTACTGAATTGGTTCACATTTTGCCAGCGATCGCTGCTGTGTAACCTTTGGACGACCCCAAAACGTGGCAATCCCGTTACTTGAAAATAAATTTCCAAATCTTGTTCAGGAGCATTGGTAGTAGATGAGAGGTTCGCGGGGGTAATGAAGGCCCAGCTACCATGAGTGAGTCTCAAGCCAGTGTTGTTGACCAAATATACTTGCAGCTCAAAGGCCGCCACCCTCAGAATGGTTGGCTCTCCGGTTTCGATGCCATCAGAAACCTTGAGAACGATCTTGGTGTTGCGTTCTCCTCGGTGGACGAATGAGACAACACCCTGGTTGACTTGCTCTTGCGTGAAGGAATGAATAGGGACTCCAGGGGACTTGGAGTTCTCTATGTACCCACCTTCACTCTCTTTCAGATTTAGAACTGTTATTCTGAAATACAAAATTTTAATTGTGTAAAATAAATATTTTTAATAATGACATTATTTAAAAATTAAATAATAGTTTTAAATTGTGATTACATAATAAAATTTACTAAATTTATTCATGAGTCTGTGCATAAAAATTTTTTAACAAGTTAGACACACACACACACACACACACACACACACACACACACACACACACACACACACACACACACACACACACACACACACACACAACAGAAAGCCGACTATAAACAGGAGACGGAGGTGAAAGGATCCAGAGCTACTACTGTCACTCTTCACTCAGCTTCCATTGTCATTCTTCACTCTACCATCACTGTCACTCTTCGCTCAGCTACCACTGTTACTCTTCACTCTACCATCACTGTCACTTTTCTCGTCATAGTTGTGACAGTGCTCGAGGCTGGTTTAACGGGTGCAGCCACACCTCAGGTCCATGGTTCTACCTGTGGAGCCACACCTCAGGTCCATGGTTCTACCTGTGGAGCCACACCTCAGGTCCATGGTTCTACCTGTGGAGCCACACCTCAGGTCCATGGTTCTACCTATGGAGCCACACCTCAGGTCCATGGTTCTACCTGTGGAGCCACACCTCAGGTTCATGGTTCTACCTGTGGAGCCACACCTCAGGTCCATGGTTCTACCTGTGGACCTGTGGAGCCACACCTCGGGTCCATGGTTAAACCTGTGGAGCCACACCTCAGGTGGAGCTGCATCAGGTAGTGATCTAGTTGACTCTCCAAGACAACGGATGTTATCCGCGCATAAAAATGCACATAGGATAATGAAAATTCTGTCGACGTTTTGGTCCGACTTAGACAGTTAAGAAGTCACACATGTTGCGACTAGTTAACGGAATCAGAAAAAAAAAGTCTGGGTCTAAATATGGATAACAAGGGAAGATAATACGAATATAACTATTATCCAGTAAGTGGAGAAATTGACCTCAGTGCCACTACAAGCATGAATCAGACTCACACTTGAGGTAGACCTCAGTGCCACTAGAAACATTTTGACTCATACTCTGAGTACCAAAAACATGCTCCTGACTCATACCTTGAGAGGTTGAGTGACAAAAATATTCTCCTGACTCATACTTTGAGAGGCTGAGTGCCAGAAACATGCTCTTGACTCATAACTTGTGAGGTTGAGTGCCAGAAACATGTTCCAGACTTCGACTTATGGAGGCTGAGCTCAGTGGTTATAGAAATATAATTTTGACTCATAAGAGCAAGAAAAAAAGCTCGGGCTGCTGGGTACTTTCTTGGCTCCTAGCCTCCAGTCTTGGCTCCTAGCTTCCAGTCTTGGCTCCTAGCTTCCAGTCTTGGCTCCTAGCCTCCAGTCTTGGCTCCTAGCTTCCAGTCTTGGCTCCTAGCCTCCAGTCTTGGCTCCTAGCCTCCAGTCTTGGCTCCTAGCCTCCAGTCTTGGCTCCTAGCCTCTAGTCTTGGCTCCTAGCCTCCAGTCTTGGCCCCTAGCCTCCAGTCTTGGCTCCTAGCCTCCAGTCTTGGCTCCTAGCCTCCAGTGTTGGCCCCTAGCCTCCAGTCTTGGCCCCTAGCCTCCATTCTTGGCTCTTAGCCTCCAGTCTTGGCTCCTAGCCTCCAGTCTTGGCCCCTAGCCTCCTGTCTTGGCTCCTAGCCTCCAGTCTTGGCTCCTAGCCTCCAGTCTTGGCCCTAGCCTCCAGTCTTGGCTCCTAGCCTCCAGTCTTGGCCCCTAGCCTCCAGTCTTGGCTCCTAGCCTCCAGTCTTGGCTCCTAGCCTCCAGTCTTGGCCCCTAGCCTCCAGTCTTGGCTCCTAGCCTCCAGTCTTGGCTCCTAGCCTCCAGTCTTGGCTCCTAGCCTCCAGTCTTGGCCCCTAGCCTCCAGTCTTGGCTCCTAGCCTCCAGTCTTGACTCATAGCCTCCAGTCTTGGCCCCTAGCCTCCAGTCTTGGCTCTTAGCCTCCAGTCTTGGCTCCTAGCCTCCAGTCTTGGCCCCTAGCCTCCAGTCTTGGCTCCTAGCCTCCAGTCTTTGCTCCTAGCCTACAGTCTTGGCTCCTAGCCTCCAGTCTTGGCCCCTAGCCTCCAGTCTTGGCTCCTAGCCTCCAGTCTTGGCTCCTAGCCTCCAGTCTTGGCTCCTAGTCTCCAGTTTTGGCCCCTAGCCTCCAGTCTTGGCTCCTAGCCTCCAGTCTTGGCTCCTAGCCTCCAGTCTTGGCTCCTAGCCTCCACTCTTGGCTCTTAGCCTCCAGTCTTGGCTCCTAGCCTCCATTCTTGGCTCCTAGCCTCCAGTCTTGGCTCCTAGCCTCCAGTCTTGGCTCCTAGCCTCCAGTCCTGGCTCCTAGCCTCTAGTCTTGGTTCCTAGCCTTCAGTCTTGGCTCCTAGCATCCTGTCTTAGCTCCTAGCATCCTGTCTTGGCTCCTAGCCACAAGTCTTGGCTCCTACAATCCTGTCTTGGCTCCTAGCTTCTGGTCTTGGCTCCTAGCCTTTGGTCTTGGTCCCAGCGTCCAGTCTTGGCTCTTAGGCTCCAGTCTTGGCTCCTACCCTTCTGTCTTGGCATCTAGTCTCCTGTCTCGGCTCCTAGCCTCTTAGCAACTAGTTTCCTGTCTGTCTCCAGCTTCTTGTCTTGGTTCCTAGCCTCTAATCATGACTCCTAGCCTGGAGGCTAGGACGGTCACTCACTCTTCCTGGCCTCATATGCTCCTTCAAATCCATTCCCAAAACTGCATATGAGATATACTTCCGTTCTTTCCTTATCCAGATCGTTATACTTCCTAATCACCGTGAAACCGAAGGACAGTTCTCTGTTCCTGGTACTCATTTATGACTTTAATCGGAAAAAAAGATGGTATGAACCTGCTATATTGAGTTAGTCTCACCTGAGTTTGCTAGGAGGGCTGTCACTGTCAACGACTGTGATGATCTCCGGTGTGAAGGTCTTGGAGGTGCCAGCAGCCAGTCTTAACACCTTCCCTGGAGGCAGTTGCAGAGTCGGAGAGTCATTCCGAGCGATGACGCGCACCGGTAATACGAACCGGTGACGAGACTGACAAAAAAAATCAGGAAACGTTATCAGATACATGACAAGATTACAAGGAAAGGGATATAGAATATAATTTGTTAAAGGAGAAACATAAAGATTAGAAGATAAATGAGGTATAAAAAAATAAAAAGTGGGAGAGACAAGCTTGGCAGAAGATGGAGACTAGAGGAGGAAACAAGGTGAGAAAGACAAGGATGGTTAATGGAGAAGAGACAAGAAGGAACAAGTCAGTATATCCATTCCTTCTGAACTCCTGATGTGTAAACATGTGACCCAAGTCTGTTTTATATAGAAAGAACGAATATAAGATGGAATGCATGTGATGAAATACAATAAAGAACAGTATAAATAAATAGAACAGTGAACAAGACGAACATATTAAACAAGGACCCAAATATAATAAGAAACCAGATGAATAACTTATAAAATAAGAACATATATTCTAAATCCAGATGAACAAATACAATCACTAAATATACAAATAAATTAAAAAACTATACAAGAAATTCGGCTATATTAATATAGAAATGAATAACATGATCACAACACAAAACTCAAAAACTAGCATGACATGTTTAGTCGATTCTGATATCATGTCTGCAACACAGGAAGATATCTGCCATGGATACCCTTGATTTACAAGTATTGTCAGTTCCGAAACAAAACAATAATTATCGTAAAAAGCTTAAATTTATAATGTAATCAAATTATTTTTAAAATAAAATACTGCTGTTAAATAATATCAGAGAGTCAAGAGAGCTTAAGAAACGCAGGATCAAGAGTGTGGCTCTTACTCCACTCTCGTGAACACCTGAACCACCAGTAACAACAACACTTAACTGAACATTGTTTAAAGTTCACCTCACCAATTACTTCCATATTCATGAAGCTCTCAGACTCTCACAAGCCTTGTAATTAAAGTCCAGCCTTGAAATATCTTACCTGGTAATGTTGCTTCTCAGGCCAACTTACCAGGCAAACACTAGACTTGGAAGGTAGAGAAACAATTATTCTGGGAGACTCTGCCATCCTGCCATACGTGAGTGAAACAGAAGCCTGGCAAATGTTTCGCACTCTGGCAGGATTGCTGGCTTTGTGGTTTTGTCTAATGTTAATATAAAATGGCAAGTTAATTGTAAAAACTTAAGTTCATAATAGACATTGCTGAACTTCCCAGGGATTTTTAATAGTTCACAGTTAGTGGGGTGGTGATACCCGGTTACTAGGGTGGTGATGATACCCAGTTATTGGGGGTGATGATACCAATTTATTGGGGGTGATGATACCTAGTTACTGGGGAGTGATGATACCCAGTTACTAGGGAGGTGATGATACCCAGTTATTGGGGGTGATGATACCTAGTTATTGGGGGTGATGATATCCAGTTATTGGGGGTGATGATACCCAGTTATTGGGGTTGATGATATCCAGTTACTGGGGGTGATGATACCCAGTTACTGGGGAGTGATGATACCCAGTTATTGGGGGTGATGATACCCAGTTATTGGGGGTGATGATACCCAGTTATTGGGGGTGATGATACCCAGTTATTGGGGGTGATGATACCCAGTTATTGGGGGTGATGATACCCAGTTATTGGGGGTGATGATACCTAGTTATTGGGGGTGATGATACCCAGTTACTGGGGGTGATGATACCCAGTTACTGGGGGTGATGATACCCAGTTACTGGGGGTGATGATACCCAGTTACTGGGGGTGATGATACACAGTTACTGGGGGTGATGATACCCAGTTATTGGGGGTGATGATACCCAGTTATTGGGGGTGATGATACCCAGTTATTGGGGGTGATGATACCTAGTTACTAGGGGTGATGATACCCAGTTACTGGGGAGTGATGATACCCAGTTACTGGGGTGATAATACCCAGTTACTGGGGTGATGATACCTAGTTACTGGGGGACGATGAAACCCAGTTACTGGGGAGTGATGATACCCAGTTACGGAAGTGATGATACCCAGTTACTGGGGTGATGATACCTAGTTACTGGGGGACGATGATACCCAGTTACTGGGGAGTGATGATACCCAGTTACGGAGGTGATGATACCCAGTTACTGGGGTGATGATACCTAGTTACTGGGGGACGATGATACCCAGTTACTGGGGAGTGATGATACCTAGTTACTGGGGGACGATGATACCGAGTTACTGGGGAGTGATGATACCTAGTTACGTGGGTGATGATACCCAGTTACTGGGGTGATGATACCCAGTTACTGGGGAGTGATGATACCTAGTAACTGGGGGACGATGATACCCAGTTACTGGGGAGTGATGATACCCAGTTACTGGGGTGATAATATCCAGTTACTGGGGTGATGATACCTAGTTACTGGGGGACGATGAAACCCAGTTACTGGGGAGTGATGATACCCAGTTACGGGAGTGATGATACCCAGTTACTGGGGTGATGATACCTAGTTACTGAGGGACGATGACACCCAGTTACTGGGGAGTGATGATACCCAGTTACGGGGGTGATGATACCCAGTTACTGGGGTGATGATACCTAGTTACTGGGGGACGATGATACCCAGTTACTGGAGAGTGGTGATACCTAGTTACTGGGGGACGATGATACCGAGTTACTGGGGAGTGATGATACCCAGTTACGTGGGTGATGATACCCAGTTACTGGGGTGATGATACCCAGTTACTGGGGAGTGATGATACCTAGTAACTGGGGGACGATGATACCCAGTTACTGGGGAGTGATGATACCCAGTTACTGGGGTGATAATACCCAGTTACTGGGGTGATGATACCTAGTTACTGGGGGACGATGAAACCCAGTTACTGGGGAGTGATGATACCCAGTTACGGGAGTGATGATACCCAGTTACTGGGGTGATGATACCTAGTTACTGAGGGACGATGACACCCAGTTACTGGGGAGTGATGATACCCAGTTACGGGGGTGATGATACCCAGTTACTGGGGTGATGATACCTAGTTACTGGGGGACGATGATACCCAGTTACTGGAGAGTGATGATACCTAGTTACTGGGGGACGATGATACCGAGTTACTGGGGAGTGATGATACCCAGTTACGTGGGTGATGATACCCAGTTACTGGGGTGATGATACCTAGTTACTGGGGTGATGATACCTAGTTACTGGGGTGATGATACCTAGTTACTGGGGGACGATGATACCGAGTTACTGGGGAGTGATGATACCCAGTTACGGGGGTGATGATACCCAGTTACTGGGGTGATGATACCTAGTTACTGGGGTGATTATACCTAGTTACTGGGGGACGATGATACCGAGTTACTGGGGAGTGATGATACCCAGTTACGGGGGTGATGATACCCAGTTACTGGGGTGATGATACCTAATTACTGGGGTGATGATACCTAGTTACTGGGGGACGATGATACCGAGTTACTGGGGAGTGATGATACCCAGTTACGTGGGTGATGATACCCAGTTACTGGGGTGATGATACCTAGTTACTGGGGTGATGATACCTAGTTACTGGGGGACGATGATACCGAGTTACTGGGGAGTGATGATACCCAGTTACGGGGGTGATGATACCCAGTTACTGGGGTGATGATACCTAATTACTGGGGTGATGATACCTAGTTACTGGGGGACGATGATACCGAGTTACTGGGGAGTGATGATACCCAGTTACGTGGGTGATGATACCCAGTTACTGGGGTGATGATACCTAGTTACTGGGGTGATGATACCTAGTTACTGGGGGACGATGATACCGAGTTACTGGGGAGTGATGATACCCAGTTACTGGGGTGATAATACCCAGTTACTGGGGTGATGATACCTAGTTACTGGGGGACGATGATACCGAGTTACTGGGGAGTGATGATACCCAGTTACGGGGGTGATGATACCCAGTTACTGGGGTGATGGTACCCAGTTACTGGGGTAATGATACCTTGTTACTGGGGCACGATGATACCGAGTTACTGGGGAGTGATGATACCCAGTTACTGGGGTGATGATACCCAGTTACTGGGGTGATGGTACCCAGTTACTGGGGTGATGATACCCAGTTACTGGGGCACGATGATACCGAGTTACTGGGGAGTGATGATACCCAGTTACTGGGGTGATGATACCCAGTTACTGGGGTAATGGTACCCAGTTACTGGGGTGATGATACCCAGTTACTGGGGCACGATGATACCGAGTTACTGGGGGAGTGATGATACCCAGTTACTGGGGTGATGATGCCCAGTTACTGGGGCACGATGATACCGAGTTACTGGGGAGTGATGATACCCAGTTACTGGGGCACGATGATACCGAGTTACTGGGGAGTGATGATACCCAGTTACTGGGGTGATGATACCCAGTTACTGGGGCACGATGATACCGAGTTACTGGGGAGTGATGATACCCAGTTACTGGGGTGATGATACCCAGTTACTGGGGCACGATGATACCGAGTTACTGGGGAGTGATGATACCCAGTTACTGGGGTGATGGTACCCAGTTACTGGGGTGATGGTGCCCAGTTACTGGGGTGATGATATATAAAGGGCTTGTTTGGTAGCTGTAGAGCGGGTAGTTAAATGATATACTTCTTCGGAGGCTTCTTAGTTTATTGTTAAGTAGTGGTGGGTTACACAGGCTTGTGTGTTTGTGCCCATGGCCCGGGCAGGGCCATGCCCGCGAGAGAGAGATGAGAGTACTTGTGTGTTGAAGCCAGGCCGCTGTGTGAGTGAGAGCGAGGCAAGTCTGGGCATACTGAAGTGGCAAGGCCTATAGGTGGCAGCACTTGAGTGGCGCGAAATATGAACTAAGCTGGCAGACAGCATGGGCTGTCTGTGCAGACAGTACAGGCTGTCTACATACGCTCGGCCACCTACCGCGCGTCGTCCCGACGCGACAATACTGGTAGTAAAAGAAACTCGGTCTCTCTCTCGTAGGAACAGGGCACAGAACACAAAATAAAAACATATATATACATATGGACATGGAAAAAAAAACTTCCTTCAGGG